CCATTAAAAATAAACTTTTTACAAATAAAAGAACCCAACAATTACGCTACTATTTCATGTAAAGTATATGATTTAGAGATACCCCATGCCTTACTTGATACAGGTTCAGACGGGTCGCATATTTCTGAAAATATCACAAACCATTTTATAAAATATTTTGGGCTAAAAATAATCAGAAAAGAAGGCCCTATGGCTAATAGATACTAAATGCTAGATCTTATCAGATGGAATTACCTCTTTACCATATTTTCATTGGCGTAATAAAGCTTATAAGAATATGATCAAGGCTGGTATGCCCTATGAAGAGGCCGAAAAAAGAGCTATCATAGCCAAGCTCTCAAAAAAGTATCAAAACAAATGCATATCACACATACCCCATTTTCTCGCAAGCTCGAAAATAGATAAATAGTAAACCAATATTTAGCAACAAACTAGAGATTATCTACTTTTTGACTTCGAGCGAGAATAGTAAGAAGGCGGGCCATATATCAACTTGAAACATTTCTTGAGAATTATATAAGTTCAAATATTTTTTTAATTCAAAAAAATTATAAAATATAGATTGGTAATTGTTATCAAAATGGTTGGTAGTACGTGACCTCAGGTCACAATGTCATGTGATTACTGCGCTATATACTGCGCCATATACTGCGCCTCGTATAACATAGTACGTGACATCTATGTCACGGTCTTATTAATCTTTTTTTTATACTCAAGAACAAGGGTATTCCATTTTATTAACTTGATTGACAACCATATAATTACAATTAGTTGTAAGATAAGTATAAAATATATTATTATTATTATAGCTTTTATACTTCTTTCTGACCCGCCCTCTTGCAAATGAGAAGACGCAGCTTTGGCTTGGCTAGCCCCACCGAAAGATGTTTTGCTAAGTAATTCAATTTTGTCCTGCAACTTATCATTAAGATTATTAATTTCAGAGTTAAATTTAATAATCGACTTTAATTTTTTTTCGAGCTCTTGTTCGTATATACTACCTAGTCTATGCCCACCTTTATTAATATCTTTCAGTGTATATATATTGGACATAATCTCTTTTGAGCTTGCGAAAAAAAACAGGATTTATATAATAGAAAAAAATAAATAATATTCTCTATCATTCTCTATCATTCTCTATTAATCTCTATCATTCTCTATCATTCTCTATCATTTTATATTATTCTATATTATTTTATATCATACTATATTATTTTTTATCATTAAAAAATATTGCTAAAAGATTAATGCCGACCCAATTCTTAAAAACTTATTATCGACGAGACGCTAGTATTTTAATACCTGAGCAGATCAAAGAAATTAGGCACCTTAAAAATAAGGTTCCTGTACATATAATAGTAAAAAATTACTATATTAATAAAAATCGTGTCTCTGATATATAGAACAATAGTGAACGTTTGCAACAGAGTAGAGATTATATATTAGCTGATATGCCCTTTTTTCGAGCTTGTGAGAAAAAAGAAGGCGGGACATCTAACCCACCTTCTCGCAAACTCAAAGGCAGGGTTCAGTTAAACACCAGTCTATCTGACTTCGAGCGATATAATAGTGAAAAAGCAGGTTCAGAAAACTTAGATAAGCTTTATAATGAGAGAGTAAAAATAAGTAAAAAAAATATTGCAAATAGTAAACGTATTTTAGAAGGAAGAAATAGCTCTGCCTTCTTGTAATAAAATTGCTCAAAGTCTTTCACAAAGCTTATTGTTTTCTGTATTAATTTCAGCATTAAGACTAAGAGTATTAGAAAGCTTTTTTTCAAGCCTCTCACAGCTTATACATTTTTTTTTATGTTCTATTCACTATTATAAACAGAAAGCGGAATAGTAATAGTTTTTCCATTCGCTGATGCGGTAAATTCACCCTTCACTATAGGCTCCTAGCCAGCCCGATGCTGCTATCTTGTACTAAGAATAAATAGTGATATATCCTTGCCATTGCTATCTTTTTCTGTTGGTAAAACAGAAAACTCATCCGAAATTGTTAAAGTATTATTTCCAATACCTATAGTAACAGGTATATGAGAAAAGGATCCAATGGAATATTTTTTTCCTACTACCCCTGTTAGTCTATAAACCTTTTTTCTGTCTATTTTTAGCCCAAAATATTTTATAAAATGGTTTGCGATATTTTCA